GCTGAGCAGAAGGAAACGAACTGTTTGGGGTTAAGAGCGTCGAGGATGTAGTGAAGAGGACAGAGAACACCCGACTCCGTGCCCACCTTTTCGACTTAACGGTACTTCCTGCACTAACGTGTGCGTCAGAAACCTGGTCGCTGCGTAAGCAGGATGAAAGGTCACTCAGCGTTATTGAACACGCTGTCGAAACGACCATGCTAGGAGTATTCCGTTTCACACAAGTAAGAGATGGGATCCGGAGGTCCGATCTGTGTCAACGATCAAAAATCAAAGATGCGGTTCTGTACGCCAAACAGTCGAAAGCAAGGTGAGCAGGACACGTAATGCGTATGAATGACAACCGATGTACAAGACCCGTTAGTGACTGGTTTCCTCGGGATGTCAAACGTACTGCAGCAAGACCACCGACCGGATAATCAGAGTTCTTCACAAAGAGCTTTGAAGAAAGATATGATGCTCGACGAGTCTCTAGAGCGAGCAGAGCCCACTGGGCAACTCTTGCACGCGACAGGGAAAAATGGAATATTTGCTGGCACCCGCTCGAGTCACTCGACAATCAACGGGACTACAGGTGATACAGGTGACAGGTGGATTGCTAGAGGCCTGGTTAATCTGTGCACGTCCTTTAACAGCTTACTACTTACGTAGCACAAGCACCTCCAATCGCCTCCTTACAAGGCCCCATTATTATCCTGTAGTTAAAACATCTAGATTTTTTTGAGTTACAGTCAGTATTTGTACTCTTTCTGAATATTTACTGGATGGATGAAAGCATTTGCTGTCCACAAAGGAAACAGTGCAAAACTATTTACACCGAGAACGAGATCTGCTCCATTGGCCGCGACGTAACACCTTAAAGCTTACAAAGCAAAGCCAACAACTATATTGAAATGATCTACTGTGAAGTTTGGCCTAACACATTGTGTGGTCTTAAAGCACCTTTTGCGGAAGCACTAATTTGTACAGAAATTAATTCACGATTTCAACATGCACATTTAAAGTGCATATTTTGGCTCAGAATAAACTTTATCAATCGAACTAAGATCTATTGGAATTTACGCGTTTTTGTTTACGAGAAAGAAGTTCACGTGCTTCGGTTGCATGAAACTCTGAAGTTCTGGAGGCGACGAAGTCGTTGAAGGGCGTTAGGCACCAGCTTGACTTTTAAACTAATTCCCATGCAGAAAGATATGATATCCAGTGAGTACGGTGAATGAGGCTGTGTTTCAAAAGCTAGTTTTTCAATCTTTGAAGCTTTGGTAGTGCTATGCGTGGCCTCGCGTTTGCGTGGAGACGCATTCGTTGGTCAATACTGCTGGAAACAGACGTTGACGTTTGTGGTACATCTCGTCGATTTGCTAAATGTAGTTCGCCACTGTATGCCCTTTACTCGGATTGAACAAATTATGATGGATCAAACCAGTTCTGAGCCACCAAATGATCAGCGTGTTTTTCTCTTGACGCAATTTCGACTTTGGGAACTACTACGGAGTTTCATCGCTGTCTATCCGCAGAGCGGATATTCGCTGTTTATTATAGAGCACGCACCTCTTCACATTTCACAATGTAGTCAAGTGACAGGCCGGTTTTGTTTTACACGGGATCCGTCGAGCATCTAGGGAGCTCCCAAATTTGCCTCAGATCCTTCGAAGCAGTTGAGATGGTTACACCAAATTTTCCTTCCTTGTACTAAAACCTTCGATCTGTCTTACCAATAGAAGAACGGCCGCTGCGACCATCTTCATCTTCAACATTTAACTCGTCACGGAGAAAGTGAAAAAAAAACGCGCTGTGCATTCGGTAACACTTCGTAGGCTTCATGTGTCATTAATGCTTCGAGCCATATGTAATGCATTGCGAGTGAGTTTGAGATCATAAAAGCAAACCCATTCCTATTGCTGTTCTAACGCTTCAATTTTTACCGATACAATGCTCTAGCTCTTATGAAGTCCTTCTTTTTTCATGGCAGAGTACTATTTGAAATGCCACTACAGCGATGCTGAGATAGGAACACTACTTGGAACAATTTAACATATTATTTACTGCCTACTCTTTTTAACGGCAGGGTATACATTGTGAAATATAACTTTAATGTATAAGTCATATTTCACAATGTATACATTGTTAAAAATACCTGCCGTTAAAAATAAAAAGAGTAGGCAGTAAATAATACGTTAAATTGTGATTACAACTGCGGCCTCAGCTTAACTGGGTTAGTTGCCGATTTGGGCTCCCCAAATCAGTCCCGCTGACGGGTGATTGCTGATGGCAAAAGATCGATAGAACTAGCTGAGAGACAGGCAAATCGAAGGACCCGGATGGTGTGGTGGTAAAGTGCGCTACTCCCCGGTAAGGACAATAGCGCGTTCGTTCCCCGCCGCAAACATCTGCGGTCCGGAGTTTTGCAAATATCTCAGCATCATTAAAGTTATATTTCACTACTTGGAACCTCAGCTGGGCTTCCGACTTGGGATTCGGGCCACCGCAAATCATCGTATCCGTCAGATGTGCATCCAATCATCTCCACCATGTTAAGAAGTTCGAATGCACGGAGAAATGTTTAATTCGTAACACCCTTATCTTTAATTATGTTGACTTTTTTTGTAATCCTCTTAAAACCACAACCTCTTCACGTTGCTGTTCCATAGTTTGACCACATAATCTTAAAATTTACTTTCACAAGTTACTGGAAAGACAATAAAAACAACATATAGGACAATTCATATTCCTTCATGTTGTATAATTATTCAAAAACAACTTTCAGGTGGAGAATTACAAAACTTCTTGGCTCTGGAGGATTTGGAGATGTGTACAAGGTGATAAAAGAAAACAGCAATGATAACAAGGTTCCACAATTTCACTGACACCTCCTTGAACTTAAGAAGCAGTTTTGACACCATTCAGCGATGTTCTACAGTACCACTTTCACTTTCAAATATTATTCTACTCGCTCATTATTTAAATACGTAGGCAGATCGCATTTTTGAGTTCGGAGACGTTTTCCATTGTCTTCACTACAACCTTTGGCTTTATTCCATCATGACAATCGTCTACGGAGTTCGTTTTATAGTGACGTTTGCTACTTTCAGTGAACTAAAATTCATCGCGCTAGTGGTACTTGTTAACATATCTTACAAATAAATATTCTCCTACCTGGTAAATTGTTTCACCTTGAAGTTACTTGCACTTTCTAGAATCCACTTCATCGCCCTTTTATTCACTCTTATTTTCGCCAGTCTTTGTCGTGTTGCCGATTTACGATCCGCTATAAATCGACGTTTACTAAACCTCTAAAGCGGAATATCTATCGATGTTGTTGCTTCCTCAAAAGAAAAGTCGAGAACTGATTTCCTTTCAGTTTTCGTATGATTCTTCTTTCAAGAGCTTTGTATATTTCTGGAATCCCCTAAGTGATACGACGATGTGGTATTCGTAATCGGAAATCCAACCATGCAAATTCGCTTCATGTCCCAGTATGGTTTTCTCATGGAATGGCGGCCACGGTATTCTTCTATGCAGTTCCATTTTATTCCGTTATTTGTTTTCTTCATCGAGCATCATTTGCGTTTCACTCTTCCTTCTTGGAATTATACTAATGTAGCCAAGCAGAACATGTTTAGTATCAAGTTTCTGTGAGCACATGTGCTTTTCTTCTCAGCATTCACTAAAGAGCTAAACAATCTGAGATGATACCTGCTATCGGATGCCTTGTCTGGTGGGAAAAATTTTCAGAACCCTGTTTTCTGATTTGATGTGACCTCTCTCAAATTCCTTCTTTGATGTGCTGGAAAAGACAGTATTCCCGAATATCACTCTGAACAAACAGAACGTCGGTAATCACAGTGTATTTGAGTAGAACATGCACTCTAATATGTTATTTTAAGATATGATTAGTCCGCTGTCTGAAGTAGAGATAAGTATCGGGTCATAACCGCTTGGAGGTAAAGGTAAAAGTATTGACAAGTTGGCATTACTCATTTGTAGATGTGTTATAAACAAATGAGTCACATCTTATCTATTAACAGTCCAGCATTCACGTACCTCTACGGATTTACCCTTCGTTTATTTCTAACACAGGAATATGCCATGAAGACAGAAATGGTCGGAGGTGACAAGCTAAAATTGCGTCTCAAAATCGAAGTGCTTGTGCTATCTCAATGCCATGAAGTTACTAACCCTGAGAAGAAAAAACACTTTGTGCCATTTATTGACAGAGGGAAAACTGACGATTTCAAGGTACGCTCATAATAGTCAGTATTTCACTAAATGTAGCGATGATATACTGCATTGGCCGCATACCGTTGGTAAATAATTTCTTGAACAAAGCCTATTTTCAGTTTCTAGTCATGGGGCTCGTCGGCAAGTCACTTGAAGATATTCGACGTACAATGCTCCTTCGAAACTACTCGAAAGCAACAGCCATGAATGCCAGTCTACAAACGTTGCAGTCGATATGGGACCTACATGATCTCGGATACTTGCACAGGTTAGTTTATAACCACAGCTCGATAACATGCTTAGCATGCTTAACATCGATTAACATGCTCGATAACAGATTAAACAGATTACAGATAACAGCAGATTACAATCTTGCTTCAGAGACATTAAACCTCAGAACTTTGCCATTGGCCTGGGAGAACTTGAGAAGACTATCTACATGCTCGATTTTGGTATAGCTAGAAGATACCGCGCAAAAGATACCAAAGAAGTAAAGTTAGTTGGATTTTTCTCAAACCTTTGGTAAAGTAGGTCATCTAGATTCACTATTCATGCACCAGTAATTACTTGACTGCATAAATTTGTACTACAATTCGTAAAAATGTTCCTGACACTAGTGAGAAGGGGCGAGATTGTCACAACATTGCGTGCACCAATTCTAGGGAAATATCGACATTCAAGGAAGTCCACACTCGAATTTTTCTTATATGCTGCATAGCTGTAATGGATAACGTTTAAATTTACAGCATGGATTACTTCCCCTTAGTCTCATACGTTAGTTATCTGAACAAACATTTGCAATCAAGTAACTGCGACAGAATAGAGCACATCGGAGTTGACTCTAACTAATGAACCCCATGTCTACTCTGGAAGAACACGACACAGCTTATCTGTGAGTAGATCTAAAACCGGAGAACAAGGGATGAGCAACTACTGGCCACCCTCTTACCTAAATACTAAACATAAACATCCCCATAAAAAAAGTTTTCTTTTACCTGCCCTTTCAAGCAAACTTAGCATAGTAGTACAATCTATAAAAAGTTTGCTTGTGGTCGATCGACCACTTGATGATTAAGAGAATAGTGATATAGGTTCCACCTACACATACCGGCTTTCGGTCAATCCAGGTCCGCTTGCACCTAGAGACATCTCATCCCAGTGTAGTAGTTTGTGTTTGTTGCAGAGTAGCTCGCTTAGCGGTGAAATTCCTTGGTACGTTGCGCTTTGCTTCACGAGCTTGTCATCTCGGTGTGGAGCAAGGAAGGAAAGACGATTTGGAAACATGGGTGTACATGGTAAAAACGATACTTGCCGTGTATAGTTTGAATGTAGAAAATGCCCGCACTCACAGCACTGAGAAACTCATATAACTATGAAGATTTGCAGATTTTCGATCTTTTTGACAACGACAGCCTACCTTGGAAAAGAGCAGCTAATAAAAATCAGGTAGGTTGACGAATTATAATGACCAGTAAGTGATATACTATATTTCACATAAAACTGGACGTAGTAAAGTGTAATTTCCCAAAGGCTTACTGCTTCATCATGGTTGGGAGGTGTTCCTGGGTGTCGGACTGCGATGTACAGCGGAGATTCATTCCTTGACAGTGTCTCCCTAGCTGAGAAGGGGTCCGGCGCTTCCATCAGGAAGCCTGGCTAAGAGTAAACCAATACCAGGATCCAGCACCGTCCTGGTAGCAAAGTCGCATGGTGGCAAATCTCCTTCTGATCCACAAGGACAGCAACTGTCTGTGGTGGTAAAGACCTGGGGCACACTTTGGCCACGCTGACCTCGAGATTCCAGGGAACCGCAATGGCTTAACCAGCAAATTTCCGAAAAATGGAGATTGTGCTGGTGCCCACACAACCAGTGAGGACGGGCCATTCAAGTGTCAAGTAAAGTGTAAAAAGTGCACGGCATTGATCAATACACAACAGATGTGCACGCGTTCAACTCCAGTAAGCATTATACTGTTGAGTAAATGCATATTTCGCTTACATAAAAAGTTTCGATGGACCACCGATTCGAAGTAAAGTCAATGTTTTTATCGTCCTAGGAAAATCTGGTGGCATTTTCCGACCCTGGAGTGGTGGAAAATTTATTCGGAGTTCGGCATCGAACCAATGACCCTGTGCATAACAGGATACCTCCGCTCCTGATCATCAGGTGTGATCAAGCTCTAGTAACCGTATTTTGCATACCTCCATGGATTACTGAGCTGAAAGGAGGTTGGTATAAAATATTTGTTCGAACATTTCGATGTCTTCTTCTTCTTTTGAATCGGATTGACCTGAGTCGATGATCCACAACAGGTCGTCGTCGCGATGTGGGTGATCGCTGTCACACCGACTCGAATCCAATGAAGTGGAGCATCAATCGAATGAAAAATCTCACTCGATGCTGCCCGCTTAAACATGCCAGATCGCGATATATTGTCGACTGATGTATTGTCGCCATCGAATATGATCATTTTGGCGTCATTGTGTCCTGCAGAAGGCGATGGTCCACTAGCTGGTGCATGGCGTTGTAATACCTATCTAAGAAACCGACTTTTAAAGGGCACAGTTAGATATTTGATTGTCAGAATATTCACGACAGCAAGAAGAAAACCGAGAGTTATGAAGTCATCAGTAGAAGAAAACTCCCGAATTGATAAAACGGTATCGAACTGCAGAACCAACAAGCAACTATCCGTTTAGATCGCTTTTTGTGAAGCCCTGTAGAGAAATGATAAATCAGATGTCATTAAAAGAAAACAAAACTTGACGGCGTTTCAACAGTAGCTTGGGATATTGATAGCTCTTCAAAGTACTCGCGCATATTCCCTGCAACGGTCAACGAAGAAAATAATCTAGCCTTACTACATCTCCTCGACAGCCACGCGATGGCATCTTCGATATCCTACATACTATTTGATCAGTGAAAAATTACAGAACAGTCAGCCTGGAATGGATTACACGCAAACAGCTGAAAAACGGCAATTCCTACAAACAAATTGATTCGGATTCTCACATTTTGCATATAAGAAAAGGTGTGAGAGCAGCGCAGTAGATACTCTGATCCAGAACAAAAGACGAATCAAAGGCTTCGTACCATCAGGCCAGGCAATAGCTAACAGATTTATGTGAGAGGATAAAAATATCGACTTTGCACTTTGGTTGTCAATTCATTATACAGAGCAGATACGATTGAATCACCTATTAAAATGCAAGCCTAGTAGGAGGCGAGTGCACGATGCGTCTCTATGGAAGCCATTGACTTTCAAACTTTGTAGTCATAATTCAAGAACTTTAGTAAAGAAAGCCAGCGAAATGGTGTTGCTTCGTAAAAAGCGAGACTGTACGACACCTATCACTCAATTTGCTTGCCTCCTGACACAAATAAGCGCATTACTGGAGTCGTCCTTAGCAGTGCTGCCAGAACATGGGATGGTCCTCACTGGATGACGGAACAGATGCCACCAAGCAGAACCGAAAAAAGGATTCCAAACAAGTAATCATATTTGTCCATAACTCTGTGACGTATTGCAGAAGTATAAGCTTTCACTTTATCTCACTTTTATTAACGTTAAAAGAAACCCTTTTGATACAATCGAAACATAGACAGCCGTGAAAGCTGAGGCATCCTTGTTTAGTTAATGAATACCTTTCGTAATCGGTATAAAACAGCACGAATTTCTTCATTCTTCAGATTATCAGTGATAACGAGAGAGGTCGGAAACAGTACCATCACATCCATTTTGCTTAAAGAAACTTTCGAAAATCTGAAAACTGAAATAGATTAACACGGAGTGAAGTCGAATGCCTACAGCTACGCAATTTCCTCTGCTGATAAAATCCTTATAAACTAATCGAGCGTTAGCAAGACGGAACGATGTCTGTAAATTTCGATGACACGTACAAAAAAGTAGACTTTCCTTCCAATCTCAAGAAAATGACGTTTATGAGAAACGACTTCATTTTTGTCGTTTCACTCACGTTTAAAGGATTGAATGTCTCCAATTGGTCAAGTTATGCGTATTTGCGCCAAAAAGTATGAATGATAAACTACTTAGCTGAAGATATGAATGAAATGATTCCAGCAGCTCGGTGAGGTTAGATGAGCAGCGAAGATTTGGTGAAGAAGATACAGAGCAACGTGTCTCCCGCCTACATTATCAGTTTTTCCATTGATCCTGCCTTAACATATTCCTCGGAAATTTCGTCACGTCCAGAATTCAAGATCATTGAACATTTCCGAACGTGCTATCAAGAAGATGACTTTGGAAGAGACGCATTTTACGTCAAGGATAGAACAATATAGAAGTTTCGACTCACTTTAAGGACCAATGGTTAAGGGAGCTGCTTGATGTAACGAGACGATGAAAAATAAGTGAAGTGAACTCGTGAGTACCTTACCAACAACCCATTAGACAGAACCGAGGCGTGAATGTGTCCACTGTGTCCAATGTGCTAATCGCACTACGGGAACAGTACCGACCTGTTAACCAAAATTCTTCACAGATTTACTGTGAAAAAAAGTGATTTTCGTGCATTCGAGCGGAGACAATTCCCACTTCTGGAACAGAAGAGTATTGAATAGGGAAAATTTTTCTGGATTCTGGAAGAAATTTCTAATTATAAGATTATTGGCGAAAGTGCAGGTGACACGTGTACTATGGGCAGATTATGATTTTTATTTTTTAGCGCTGTGTGGGAACAAAAATTCAGTAATATTTCTGAAAACAACATAAACAGACATATTCTTTAAGATAGTCTCAATGAAGGAGCAGTTCATCAAGTTGCAATATCCGAAAAGTTTCAAGATTGTCCCAAGTGAAATCGGACGTATTGTGGAATATATCGATGGGATGGCATACGCTGATGAGCCGGATTATCTCTTCATCCAAAATTCATTGAAGTACGAAATTATTACTTTTCAATGGACGCTCGTTTAAATTGACCCACAGTTCTTGCGTCTCATTTCTCTCTTATGGCCTTCGCTCATTAATAATTATTAGACTTTTGCTTCGAGCTTGCTCGAAAATGTCGAATTTCAGCGGGTTTTTCAAAGTTTCAAATCTCAACTCAGGTCAAAATCCATTACTCAAAGAGCTTTTGAAATGCAAACATTTTTGCCAACGAGAAACAAGTTTATTAGTACCGGATGCGCAAAATTCTGGACGTGTTGAGGCAATGAAACCATTGAAGATGTTTTAGCCCTTGGCTTGGTATCCAAAGCGTCTCTTGCGCAGGAAGTTATGCAGGTATTTGAAAAAGTGGTAGCGGATAGGCGATAGGGACGGCGAACGTGGTGGATTAGGCGAAGTTTCGTAGCCAAGCTCTTTAAGGTTTTACAGCATCAATAGCATATGTTATGGATTAACCCTTCTGTTGAGTAGTGCAGGATGTAAAGGTTTGTAATGCATTTCGCTGATTTAACGAACATTTCTCCTCCGTAACCGTTTCATCCGGACTCAGGACGCTACGCTGTATGAAATCAACTGGAGACGATCGAACGGTCAGTACGCCCTTTTTTGACGCAATTTCGGTTTTGGGGTGTGCTGTGATTCTTCACCCAGTCCATCCACTGAGCCGATTGTTGCCGGCCATCGTATAGGCTTCATTTCCACCATATGTCATAATACGGCCGAGAAACGGGTCGTTCTCGTTACGTAGAATATGCTCCGAAGACAACTCAAAATGGCGATTTCATCGACTGCCATTCATTTCGTGCGGAATCATTTTGTCGCGCTTCTTCGACCTGCTAGTGCTCTTTAAATCGTCAACCACATGCGACTATAATCAGCTGTTCTAAATTTCCTCATTGGAAGTCACGAAAAAAGGCGGCTCTGAAGAAGACGATACCGCCGAAACGTCAGCTAGCGTTGGATTGTATTGTTTTCTTTATGGAAGTGAATGTATGCTGTTTAAAAACCTCGCGATTGCTGAACGAGAAAACGACACATTCGTATTCCAATGCCGAGGTTAATAGAAAGTCGATCCTGGCAGCTCTTTAAATGTTAAAAAACATTTGAGGTATTCTAACAGCGAATCTTTCCGCAGTTTCTCAAACCGTTCTGTATGTATTAAGGAGAAGCATTCAATTCATTGTCACAAATAGCAAAATGGCGTCCGCCAGTCCAGCGTCCCTCATCTTCAAGGTCGGATTCGCCACGACGAAATTTTTGCAACCAATGTTGCACTATGTATTCGTCGTGCCTCCGAGAGGTTTCGTAGAAATAGATTTGTTAACACTGATGTTTTTATATCTGGAATACTAACCTCTAAAGTTTGCTGAGAATATGATTTATATTATAAATAAATTATACGGAGCAAAACTGAATAAAATGAGCTTCGAATACTACGTAGTAGAGCAACATTGAAAAGA